TTTTTTTTTTTTTTTTTTTTTGCGGTACGTGGGCCTCTCACTGCTGCGGCCTTTCCCGTTGTGGAGCGCAGGCTCAGCGGCCATGGCTCACGGGCCCAGCCGCTCCGCGGCATGTGGGATCCTCCCGGACCGGGGCACGAACCCGTGTCCCCTGCATCGGCAGGCGGACTCTCAACCACTGCGCCACCAGGGAAGCCCTGTTCTTTTCCTTTTATTGCTAAGTAATATTCCACCATATGGATGCATCACTTATTGAAGGACATCTTGGTTGCTTCCAAGTTTTAGCAATTATGAACAAAACTGCTTTTGTCATACATTTTGATATTTACTACAGTCAAATTTAGCAGTCTTTTGCTTTTGGTTTTTGCTTCCTGTGTCTACTTTAAGAAAACCAACACCATCAACACATTATCCTATATTTTTTCTAACATACTTATAGATATTTATGTTAATTCATCTGGAATTTATCTTGGTGAATGGTGTCAAGTAAGGATCTAACTTAGTTTTTTTTAATGAGTCGTTAATTGCTCTGAACACTTATAGAAGTGTTCTTTCCCCAGTGATTTTTGATAACACTTTTATACCACATTCCAAGCCTCACATTACATGAGTCTATTCCTAACTCTCATTCTGTGCCATGGATCTCCCTCTGTTCCTGGGACAATGCCACACTATTTTTTTGTTTTGCTGTGCCGCATGGTTTGTGGGTCCTATTTCCCTGACCAGGGATCGAACCCAGGCCCCCTGCAGTGGAAGCTCAGAGTCCTAACCACTGGACCGCCAGGGAATTCCCGCCCCCTGTTTTTTTAATCATGGTAACTTACTGTGGAGTCTGTTAGCTGGAAGGACAGGTCTCTCTTCCTTTCGGCCCATTGCTCATTCCCTCTAGAAGTGCTACCCTACCCAGAACCTTGCTCCCTCTGTGGGGCAGGACCCCTTCTTTAGCCCCACCCCCAACACCACCCACTGCCCAGGTCCCTTTCTGAAGGCTGGACTTGCTCTCCACACCCTCAGCCGTTGTAACGGCCAGCTTCTTCCTCACCATGTCTGTCCAGATGCTATATCCAAGTTATCTGACCTGTCAGTGCCTTGGTTCTCTCATCCATAAAGTGGGGATAAC